TATGGGTCGGAACTGACTCAATGGCACTTAACAACAACAAAGGTGAAGAAGGAGAAAGATCAGCTCGAGCAAACTAAGGTGAAATGAATGGCACTTTCGCAAAAAGAAAGTCACAAATTCTGATTTCACAGAAGACTTAGGTGCCAGGAAATTGCTAGTAAGAACTCCATATTGAAATATATGGTGGTGAATTTTCAGAAGTACATCTCCAGGCCTTTCTTCCAAGGCACCTTAAGTTGGGCTCAGACCAGCACCCCTTTGGTTAGTAGTCAAACACTTAACCATTTTTACCACCATGGATATATCAATATAGCAGTCCATTGCAGTTAACTATGTGCCAAAGACTGCTGGGGGGAAGGAGCAGCAGTAAAGTAGAGAGGTAAAATAAAATAATTCACAAAGCAAGATGGAGTATGTTATGGATTGAATTGTGTCTCCCCAAAATATATGTCTGTTTGGCTGGACCAAGATCCTTAATGGTTTGACATTCGTATAATGATGTAATTTGGCAGGTATATGGTGGTGTAATTATCCTCCATGATGTGATCTGATTTAATTAGCCAATCAGTTGTAAGGGAATTAGGATGGGATTCAATATCCTTAATCAGGTCACAGCCCAGAAAATATAAGGAGAATTTCCCTGGGGTGTGGCCTGTATCATCTTTTATCTTCCAAGAAATCGAAGTTGAGAAAAGCAAGCAGAAAAAAGGGATCTACTCTCACCAAGAAGAAGAGTCTGGGTCAGGGTACATCCTTTAAACCCAGGGTCCCTGTGCTGGGGGAACATCTTAAACCCAGGGGAAGAATGATACCAATATACATGAAGATCTCCAAGGAACATCAGTTAGGCCAACATATGTTTCAAAGAGCTCTGGTAGCATTGTCAGGCTGCTAACCTCAAAGTCAGCAGTTCGAAACTACCAACTGTTCTGTGGGAGAAAAATGAGACTTTCTGCCCCTGTAAAGATTTACATCTTTGGAAACTCTATGCAGTGTCACTAAGCACCAGAACCAACTCCTTAGCAAACTACCACCATGTTTCAAGGAGATAAGGCCTTTCTTCCAGAGCCAAGATAGAAAGAAAGCCTTCTGCTAGAGCCAACACCCTGATAATGAAGTTTTAGCCTTCTAAATTGTGAGCGAATAAATTTCTGTTTGTTAAAGCCATCCCCTTGTGGTATTTCTGTAATTGCAACCATAGATAATACAGAGTACCTCTGCAGACCATTGGACTATGAGTAAAGAGATTAACAAATACTCTCCCCCAAAGAACAGTTATAAAGCTAGACAAAATAGTCAAAAATTGTATTTTAGCACTTTGGAAATGGAGGAAAAAATATAGTAAACTTAAGTTGATAAATTGTTATATGTGGAAACTACTGAATGTTGTTGTAGTTACGTGCTGTGGAGTCAGTTTTGAATCACAGTTATCCTATTTAGGGTTTCCAAGGCTTTAAATCTTTTGTAGGAACATAAAGGTTCATCTTTCTCCCATGGAGAGGCTGGCTGGCTCTAACCACTGACCTTGTCACACAGTCCAGTGCTTATCCAATTGTGATATCATGGAATGTCTGTGGCATTCTTGCCTGAGGGAGCTTCAACTCAACTCCAAGCTCTGCCAATATGATCATTCAAACAGGTTTGAAAAACAACATGAAAACCAACAGTTTTGCTATCACTACGTGTAGGGTTCACATTATTTACAGCATTTTCAGTCAGAATGAAGATCTTGATGGCAAATAAACAAGGTGGACCAGCAACTCTGCTACCCTTAACAGAGAATACACATGCCTAAACCATCCCTGGCTAACAATGTATGCTGATTACAGATGCAGGGACAATACAAGAGGCATTGGCAGATAAGAAATTCAGGAAAGTCTTGATAATAACATGAACTTTGAATGCACTCCCCAGATGTCACAGAGATCATTGAGCAAAGAATGGAAACCACTAGATCAGATGTTTGACAGCTATACAGACAAAGGGAAGATTTCTAGAAAACCATGCATTAAGAAAACAAACTTAGGCAGAGCCATCTGTAGCCACACATTGTAGACAGAATATTCAGACTTTGTCCAGGCATATTACTAAATAAACAAGCAAAAATCAAACAACACAATTATAGCAACAATTCGGAGAGAGAAAAAGTAGAACTGTGAGTTGACACAATATGTAATCTAAAATGCCCAAACATAATAAAAATTTATGACATGGAAATAAAAGAGGTTGGGGGGAAAAAAGTTAATAGAATAATGTCTTTTTAAGTGTTCAAAAAAATACTGTAAAGCAGCTATTGTGAACATTTTAAAAGAAATAAGGAAACCATGTTTTGTTGTGCAATGAAACAACACATCAAGAAAAGCAATAAAGAACTACAAATATTTTTTTAAAAACAATTAAATGAAAATTCTGGATCTGAAAACAAAAAATAATTGAAATGAAAAATTCAGAAAAGGGGTTGAAGAAATTTGTTCACTTGAAATGTCAGAAGAAAGATTCAGAATACTTGAAGATGAATTAATAAAAAATATGCAATCTGAAAAACAAAGAGAAGAGAAACAAAATAAATATAGCCTGTGAGATAAGCACACTGACATTTATGAAAAGAGAGTCTCATAAATAAAGGAGGTTAAAAAAAAGGGAGGGAGAATAAACATCTGAAGAAATAACAACTGAAAATTTACAAATTTGATGAAAAACATTAATTTATAGATTACTTTATAGATTTACTTTACTTATAGTAAAGTAAAAACAATCACATCCACTCCT